GGAGGGGGGGGGGGGGGGTTAATAAGGGAGAGAAGTCAGAGGAGTGAGAGAGGAATGGAGCTACCTTGCTGATTCAAAGTAGATTTGAGTTTTGAGATGAGAAGACTTTCACGGACGAGAAGTTTATCTGGAGAGGAACATGATGATAAGATCTTAAAATCATCAAGAGAAGCAGTATATGACCTGAGTGGCTCAGATGGGAAAAGATGCTTGTAAGTTGAGGACTGCTACTCGTCTTACCAGTTAAGGCAGAAATACCCAGCGGTTCAGAGACTCGTGTATGTAGATGGCGGACCGTTTGGCCCACATACTACGCGGAACAGCATCGACACTTAAAAGAATAAACTACACACGACCTCAAAGCATCGGGAATTTTGCCCTTAAACATGAAGAAATTTGACGAACGTAGAGTGGGACGAAAAACGATTCTGATGTTCATATGTGGGAAGGCTACAGAGCAAAGGCGTTGAATTTGGGTACGGATTTGGAGAGAGTGTGTTCCGGTATATGGAAGACAAAAGTATTTCACTTTCTTAGATACAGAATGGATTAATTCCTTGGGTTGAAAGGTTTTATCAAGAAAGAGTCGAAGACAACGATCAAAAAGACGAGCAGGATAACCGTTCTGGTTGAGGATTTTTCTATAAAACTCAATCTGAGCATGGAAATTCTCATAGTTAGAGCAAATATTGAAAAAGCGGTGTAATAGTGAATATATTAAACCACGTTTAAATTGTAGAGGAGTGAAGCTATGGAAATTAGTTAAAAGCCCTGTGAATGTAGGTTTACGATAAGCAAAGGTTTCAAAGTGACCATTATAGTTCGTGTGGTACTTGTGATAGTAATGTCAAGGAAGGAAAGTTGACAATTGGATTCAACTTCACACGTAAAGTTAATGTTAGGATGTTGGCGATTGAGATATGCAAGAAAAAGAGTAATGTGGTCCCTAGAACGGAATAGAAGGAAGGTATCGTCTACATATCGGCGATATAGTAAGGGCTTAAAATTGGTAGAGCAATTATTAAGCCAAATGGTTTCATGAAAAGATAAAAAAAATGTTAGCAAATAGAGGCCCAAGAGGAGAGCCCATTGCTACGCCGTCTACCTGTTGACATAGGGTCGAACCATTGAACAAGAAATGGCAGTTTTTGACAGCACGATTCAAAAGTTGTTTGAATTCAGAGCGAGTGAGATCATGAAAACGGATGGCATTCGAAAACAAGCGATCGGCAATTATTTCAATGGTTTTGTCCAGTGGGATATTAGTAAACAAGGACGTGACATCAAAGCTAGCCATGGCAAGATTATCGGAATTAAAGTCTAGACTTAACAATTCCTGCACAAAGGAGAATGTATCACGAACCATGAAGGCGCTAGGGCA